CACATGTTACTTCTGTATATTTAAACTAATTTGAAGTGTGGGCCCAAGTCTTATATTAGCCCTCCGTCATTCAGACTTGCTGACAGGTCAAGTAGAAGTTGAGGTCTAGTCTCACAAGTGGCATCACTTTTCGCCTTGTTTGATCTTATTTGTCACGATCCCTGTGTCTCTACAGACAGTCTATAGGAGAAATATTAGATGTGGTCACACGGACCTGCATAATATTTTTACATGGCTTTGCGATGTATTCTTTCTTCACTGATGTTAAAAGACATGTTTTCAGAAGAAAACAGTTCCCCCTCCACGCGATGGAGAAGACTTTGATCACAAAGGCAGCATATCCAGCAGGATTTCAGTTTCCATCCATTTGGAGTTTAATCTCAGACTCTCACCTGGTCTCATGAATGCTTTAAGTTAAGTAAACCCACAACTGGACCAATACTAACACATGAATGTGTGAGTGCTGGTTCGTTAGTGCCCCCACACAGATCTTTCTGCCTTTATTAAGCTTTGTCGAGTTGCCTAAACTTGCAAGAAGATGGCGTGAATGTGGGAGGTCCAAGAGCCTATGAGGACACTGATGTATTCATATTGGACCACAGTGTGACTCGCTGGTGTCCATCCCTATGTCATTACTGGTATGTGTGCATACGTGTGTCTGTCCCAGCATGCCGAGTCCGCTCCCTTGGGTCCCTGACCAAGTGTACAGGGTGCCTCCTCCTTCCCAGCTGTGAGGAGCCGGGCTCTGACATGGCCTGTCCCTTTAGCTCACTCTGAACGTTTGACACGCCAAGCGCAGAGGTCAGCCTGACCTACTTTCCCCTGGCGGCCCTTCTGCTGAGCTGCAGCGCTCCTCAGCAGGGGGGGCAGCGAGGGCGGAGTTGCTTACGCCTCCACTGCTGTCCTGGTGTGTTAAATCACCGCCATTTGTTCAGAGACACAGCCGTGTGTGTATGTGTTTTAGGTGTGTAGGAGGCATCCCACATGCACAGACACACACTCACACAGGCTTGTGCTGAGTTTGGATATGAAGTGCTCTGTGGGGGTTGCAGGTAGATGCTGGGCAGCACTTGGGTAGGACCCCCTTCAGTGAGCTCTGTCTGACTCACTTTGTGTACCACTGCTCACACCCTCTGACCTCCTCCACCTACTTCACTTCCCTCTGTGCTGCAGATGTGTGTGTGTGTGTGTGTGTGTGTGTGTGTGTGTGTGTGTGTGTGTGTGT